TCCTTCCTTCCTTCCTTCCTTCCTTCCTTCCTTCCTTCCTTCCTTCCTTCCTAGTTCCCAGTTCCCAGTTCCCAGTTCCCAGTTCCCATTCCGGTCAGTTGGATTGGGTTGCATTTCCCCATTCAAGGGTAGTGCACTGTCTGAGGGTCTCCATGAACTCACAGTTCCTGCTCAGTGAGCAGGTGACAGATGTGGCCAGGAAGGCCTTTGGAGAGCTTCTTCTAGTGTGCCAGTTGTGCCCTTTTCTGTATCAGGAAGCCCTTCAGACAGTCACCAATGCCCTAATCACTTCATAGCTCAATTATTGCAATGCACTCTGCACGGGGCTGCTCTTGAAGACCACTCAGAAATTTCAGCTGGTCCCAAATGCAGTGTTGTGGGCAGTTATGGGCATGCCTTGATATGCCCATGAGACACTTCTTGAGCTGCACTGATTGCCAGTTCACTTCTGGGTGTGATTCAGTGTGGTGATTATGACCTATAAAGTCCTGCATGGCATAGGATCCAGCTATTTGAGAGACCGCTCATCTCTCATGGTGTCTGCCTGGCTGATTCGTGCTGCCAGGGGTTGATTTGCTCCGGGTCCTTTGATTAAACAATGCCACCTATTAGGACCTAGGAAGTGCACCTTCTCTGCCACAGTACCTGCCCTCTGGAATGAGGTTCCCCCTGAGATCCAAATGGTTTCCATCCTATTGGCATTCTGAAGAGTCATAAAGACTTGGTTGTTCTCCCAGGCCTTGGGCTAGGGTGGTTGGTGTCCCTTTAATTGGGTGTCAGTTGTTGGTGGGATGTTTTTGAGGTTTGTTGGGTGTGCCATTTTTGCTGTTCCTTTTCTTTGTCTGAGTCTGGTGTTGTTTATTTATTTCTGTTATACTGCTTTTATACGGTTTTGGTGTATTATGAGCTGCCCAGAATTTTTTGGAGTTGGGCGGCATCAAATATAAGCAATTCATTAGCCAATTATTTTTAATGATGCTTTCTTTAAAAATATACATGTAAGGAGATTTGTGACTGTGCTTCCACAGGATAATTAGTATACAACTAAATCATGATCCTCTCTCTACATTGATTTTCTTCTTGAAGTAAATAGCTTTTAGCAAATCATGTTCGTCTTTTAGCTAAGATCAGTAAAATATTGTTTGCTTATACTATAAATTGAATATAATAAACCATGGTTTGTTGTGAAGTAAGAAATCAGTAAGAAAATGTGTCTATGTGGGTATAGGAAGGAGAGAATGAGAGAGAGAGACAGGAAAAAAGAGAGGATGGATGACTGCATAAGCCCAAGGTTTGGTCATGTAATATGTTTTGAAATATCTGTTGCAATTTCCAGATCAGGCTTGACATTTTTTGTAGTACAGGTAGTCCTCATTTAATGATCACTTATTCAGCAACTGTTCGAACTTATGACAGTGCTGAACAAGTGGTACTTACAACCAGTCCTCATACTTATGTTGGTCACAGCATCCCTGCAGTCATGTGATTACCATTTGCAACATTCTTTGCCGGCTTCCTACAAGCAAAGTCAGTGGGGAAGCCAGTAGGAGGTTGCAAATGGTGACCATGTGATGTCCTTGCTTAATGACCCATGGTGATTCGCTTAATGACGGCAACTGGAAGTGCTGGAATTTCCATTCTTAAGCAGCATAGTCATGTGGCATCATGCTTTACAACCAAGTTGCTTAGCAACCAAAATTCTGGTCCCAATTGCTGCTGTTAAGTAAGGACTACTTGTACATGAGCTTGGAAGGGAAAAACAGGGTATTAGCAGTAGGAAGATGAAATATGGGGCTGGATTTTGACCAACAATAAGTGGAAATGCGTAAGTGGTTTGACTGCACTGCTTTAATACTGTGAAATTAATTTTTAAAAAAACCACAACTATTCAGGACGTTTTTATTAATAATTTGTAAACTAAGTAAACTGACTTTGAAGTATCTCATTATATAATCCTAACCCTAACTTCTAGAAGGAGCACCTGTGACTTTATTTGCTCAGCCATTTGTAATGACACAACTATTGATTAAAAAGCTTCTTTGTTGTCCTCAGAGAGAAGATGGTAAAGATGCTGGTGGAGCTGCTCAGCAACCAACTAAAGGAAAAACTGTTGATGGTGACAGCATTACGACTGCTTTATGTGTTAATGGCAAAGTATGATTGGCGAGTCCTTTTTGCCACAGAAGGCGGGGTGCGTGCTGTGCTGGGCTGCATGCAGGAGTATTCCACTTCAGCATTGGTACAGCAGGCTGGCTTGGCCGTAAGTTGAATGTATAAATGACAGAAGTTGATGGTAGGGGTTTGATGCATATGTGTCTCTGTGTTTGTTTTAGAAGAATTTTGTAGGTTTTGTGTAGTTAGCTCCTAATGGAAGTAAACTATATGTTAAGGAATAGGTAATACATTAAAGTAACAGACCAAATAAATACTCTCAGAAATTAGAACTATATAGGAATGTTTCTCTTAAAAATTCTCAACATTTATCATGTTTTTATATAATTATCAAGTTCTGCCTTAATAATATGATATGTCTTAATCCCACATAAATGTAACTATCTCAACATGAAATTCAGTTTGTTTGAATTGGCTTTCAATCTAAAGTATGGTTCTCAGTAAATGGTTACTGGGATACAGAAGTGTGTCAGGCATTTTCTCCAGCATGAGGACCCTTCCAGGGTTCTAAAACTAGCAAGCAAAGACCACCCCCAGTAGTTCACTATTAAAAGGAAGCCTATGGATAACCAGTGATATAGAAGAATAAGAAAATAAAGCATGCTTGGGCAATCCTTTCCAACATAGTGGAGAAATAAACCTTAAGTACAAAATAGGAAAATGAAAGAAGTTAGTGTGGTTGAATAGTTCAGAAGCTGTTGCTTTTATGAGGTTGAACAAGAATTTGAAGGGCTGAAGTATAAAGTGGATGCTGATGAAATATTGTGACAAAGGGAATCAGTTACTTATTTCTGATCTTCACTTAGTTATTTCTGATCTTCACTTAGTTTCTGCTTTTGTTTTTCTAGGCACTGAAAATATTAGTGGGTGCTGGGAATTGCGAGCTGCTTGGTACCAGTGGGAAGTCATACCCTCTGAATCATTCGGATGCTCAAATGATGCGGGAAATTTTTGCCAGCATTGGTTCTGCTTCCAACAAAGAATCTGATAATTTACTATGTGTAATTCGTGTTGCTATTGAGAAGATGTTGGCTACACCTGGGTAAGGTGAAAATGGAATCTTGACCAAATAATAACTAGATTAAAGGAATTAATATTAAATGAGGTTAAAGAGGGGATGTTGAGAATCCACTTTTTTTTCTTCTTATAGGGAGAATTCATTTGATATCTCATTTTGATAGTTTCCTGTCCTCTACCTCAAAATTGGAGGCAATCTGACAGGCTCTTTAATAGTATTAATGTTATTTCAGAACACATAATCATTTCTTAGAACTGAATTGGAGGCAATCTGACAGGCTCTTTAATAGTATTAATGTTATTTCAGAACACATAATCATTTCTTAGAACTGAATTGGAGGCAATCTGACAGGCTCTTTAATAGTATTAATGTTATTTCAGAACACATAATCATTTCTTAGAACTGAATAGGATTATTAATTGCCTAGTGTTGGAAAATTATGCATTCCAGTCATTTTTCCTTCCACATCCCCCTGCATTGCCTCAGTTGCTTATGCCAACCACTCCTCCTTTCTCCAGAGCCTCATCAGCAGTGCAGAATGGGCTGTTGGTGTTAAACATGCTGATCAACAATCACAAGGGCCTGGCAGAACAGTTGGGAAGCTGTGACCTCCGCTCGGTTCTGCAGAGTTGCTGCCAAACAGGCCAGAGTTCCAACGAGATGTTGGCTCGGATAGTGCTCAATCGTTTGGCTGAGCATAAATTGCCATTGAGCCAGGAAAATGCAGGTACATATTGCTTTAAGTTCACAGTTTCTAATCTTTACTCCTTTTTGCATTTTACTTTGTAAGTGTGGAATGGTTTGTTTTATTTCCATCAGATTTTGCTTCACGATATGCATGGAATGCCCTATTTTCTTATTTTGAAGACTTAATAAGGTTTACCTCTCCATTATGTTGGAAAGGATTGCCCAAGCATGCTTTATTTTCTTATTCTTTTTTATCACTGTCTATTGCTGGTTATCCATAGGCTTCCTTTTAATAGCAAATCACTGGGGATAGTTTTCGCTTGCTATTTTTAGGATCTTGGAAGGCCAGAAGTTAACTATCCCATGTGCGTCTTCCAGGGATCTTCTCCTGGTGGAGAAGATACCCTGCCCCACTTACTGGGGGCATGATTAGCAGCTAAGTTTTTTCCCCCATGGCCTATTTCAGGAAATGCTGTTTTGACATACAGAAATCTTCTCCTTCCCCTCCTTTTTCTGTCCAGAATCTGAAGCCTCCTTTGAGTTCAAAGATATGGATGTGCCGACCCTGCTGAGAAACCTCCATGAAACCAGCTTTTCAAAAGATGTGGTGCTAGCACTGGAGCACTGCCTTTGTGATGAGGGTGTCTACCCTGAAGGAAATGGAACTGACTTTTTGCCAGATCATGAGCACTTCTTGCTGCTATTGAAAACCCTAGAACAGTTGGGAGCTGAAAAGACTGTCCAGATGGGCATGCTGAGGTAGAAGGATGATGTATTTAACCATCATGGAATGTGGAAGGATGCTTTTAGAAGAGCATTTTGATTCAGAGAAAGTGAAGTGGTTTGAGTGGTGGTTTCTTAAGGTGGGGCATCTCACTCTTCTGGATAGGTTAGTACGGAAGCTCAGGTGGTAGGGAATTTATCTGTAAATAAAATAATTCGCTGAGTTGTATCACCACAAGTCTGTCTTGGTACAGAGAAGTGACTTAGGACTTGGGTATACCCTAAGCTTAGGAAATAGAACACTGCAGGAAATTAGTTGAAATGGGAATAATTTATTGTTATAAGTTTTGGGTCTCTGCACTTTACAGAAAACCATGTGGGGCAATTACCTGTACTCTTTTCTTTTTCAGTCTATCACTATCATAGAGGCTTAGAATTTTGGGAATTTCAGTCCCAAAATATCTTGAGGGCATTGAGATGGGTGAAACTGCTATAGATTTTCAGACTGTATGTGAAAGAACTGAATCACAACACGGATGCTTATAAGTAGCTTTGTGATCAGAATCATAAAAATAAACTTTTGGTGTATTTGGCACCAGTTTGGAAAATATATTTCTTGCTAGAGCTAGGCCTGTAGCGAACATGACTTTTAAAGATATCTTCATCCCAAATGGTACTTGAGCATCTTAAACTGGTGAGAAAAAGAATTGTACTCTTTTTGCAATAGGGACATTTTGGAAAGGAAATTATTGGATCTGTGTCATGCCTTTCTAGTTTAAAAGAGTGCTCCAGAGATCTAACAGTGAAATAGAGAAACAAATATTTTATTTATTTATTTATTATTTATTTTCAAATTTGTATGCCACCCATCTCCCCCAATGGGTGACTCTGGGCGGCTCCCAATAATAAAAAAGGACAAACACAGGACTCTCCAAACATGAACATAATCTATAAATAGTTTAAAAACATATATAAAAATGGCCTAAAAACCTCCTATAATTTGGCCCTAAAAAACCTGTAACATGCTG